AGATGTATGCAGTGATGAACACTATTTTAAATTACTGCGCTGACCCTACATTACTTCAAGAACTTGCTTGTTTGACAGCAAAACATGTTCATATATACTGTGTCAGTAACTGTAAACACACCTTTACATCTGAACTGCATGCGCCTTCTTTTTCGCTACTCCATATGAATACAGACTGATAGATATTTGTAAATGCGGTAAAAAGTAATTCATGGACCACTAGTAGTACCTCGTACTAGACAGAAGTATCGGTGCTTAGTGAAAGTACTTTCGAAATATAATACAACGAAGTCAACTCTTTTCTTATATATACGCACTCATCAACGCAATGAAAAGATACGGACGAATTGTAATCATAAGCATTGTATTTATTAAACAGTGAATTTTACTACAAGCACATATCACAACAACACGTACAAGTCCTGTATTTCATCGCGTCAGCACAATAACTGAAGTGCAATTCAATGTAAACAATTTCAAGGCTTCGTACCGACAACTTCTCGCGAAGCAGACATATTGAAAGGCTGCTTGAAGACACTGTGTACGACGACATCTTACGGAATGTCTTCAAAGACTGACAACCTGCATTGAGGAAGAGAAAAATGAAATCATTTTGAGACAGCTAACACATAATATAGGTATTTCAGACAAGCGTACTGCAGGGATAACAAAATGTCACTCATCCCATTAACTTCTGTCCCACCATTTCCTTTGTTTGTCTTCCTGACTTATGGTTCACAGTTTATTCCTCGGTGCGCTTTATCTGGACAATTTAAGCGATTGCGAAAATGCCTATGGAAGCACTTAGGAAACGCCAATAATAAGTGTTTAAACCAATTAACACCGATGCGGGTTATGAAACCAGTCAGCTGCAGAGATAAACATCAAGTGATTGATTGTCAGCATAGAATTTGGCTCGAAAGCGAAGCAGTTTGAGTTGCCACATTTCACGTGGCACGCGAAGGCAGAGAAAAGAATAAATTAAGCGGGACTCTAATGAGCAGAAATGTGAGAGGGAAAGACTAGTATCCAGGATAAACATGAGGGTTGAATGGACATGGGAGATAACAAAGATTGAAAGTGTCTGTGCCATTGACAACGACTTTGAGTTATGCGTACATGGCAGTGGTTCAAGCTAGCCGTCAACGATTTCGTGAACTAATGCTAGGTTTCATTTACACCAACTCTAACTCATTTTCAACCTAATCATATGTCAGTTAACACTGCATGTCGAGGAAGGCGATGGCCCGGCATGTTCACTAGGTGTCCTAGCTAAATCGATTAAGCTTAACTACCTCATCTGCTGAATCACGCTTCCTACCTAACACTCGATGTCCAACCTGAATATTACTCACCAAGTTATACCACTTAACATAAGAGACAGAGAACAAGCACCTGTAATCAAACATAGGTAGCCTTTTTATATCTTCCAACCTCAATGGCCGTGTCCCACAAACTAGGAGTACAATTTAGTCGGATGCCTCTAAGTTGGCGAGAATCTTCCGTGGTAAGTAACTAAAGCCAATTACGAACAATCGCACTCACACATGTAGGGTGAAACTAAAATAAAGTAAGGACAACTGCGGGAATGAGCCTTGTGTCATAGCCCTCCTGACTATGTGAATCTCCTAATAGTTTGGTTTAAGTAACAAGTGAATAGAATGCATTCTGTAGGATTCATGAGATATATGCATTCACACATAACTTCCTCAGAAGTCCTAGTCAATGTTTCCTCAATAAAGTATATTAAGGGTTGTGTAAGTTCAATAAAGTGTGAACTGTTAGCAATACAAACAACAACGATTCTTGGGATTATGCGTTAAAAGTGCGCAGACTTTTCACTGTCTTTGGCTCCGGAAATTTCAGTATCGCTTCGACTTTAGTAGCCAGTGGGCGAATGCCCTGACAGTCAATAGTGTGACCCAGAAAATCGAGTGAGTCAACGCCTATTTGACGCTTTTGGATATTGATGGTAACACCATGTTGGCGTAACCTTTCAAATGCCAAGTCCAAGTGTCTAAGGTGAGTTTCCTTATCTGGACTGGCAATAAGGCGGTCGTCTAAGTATGCGTATAGAAAGTCGAGACCACGAAATACTTCATCGATGAAGCGTTGAAATGTTTGGGTCGGATTCCGGAGGCCGAATGGCATACGTAGGAATTCGAAAAGTCCGAAAGGCGTGATGATAGCCGTTTTCGGAATATCTTCCGTTGCCATCGGGATTTGGTTATACGCTTTAACCAAGTCGATTTTTGAGAATATAGATGCTCCGGATAACGTTGCCGTCAAGTCGTGCATGTGAGGCAAAGGGTAGCAATCAGGGGTTGTTTTGGCGTTCACTCGCCGGTAATCACCAGTGAGTTGCTAATCGTTACTATCCTTTTTCGGTACCATATGCAATGGGGATGCCCATGGACTATTCGATGGCCGAATGATGCCAAGGGTGAGCATATGATCGAATTCATTTCTAGCAATTCTCAGTTTTTCAGGGGCCAGTCGTCGTGCTTTAGATGTCACGGGCTGTTCTGAGGTTATGATGTGGTGCACAACATTGCTGGTTATACACGTGAGATCGTTAGATGGGCAATTGAGTTCCGGATATTAGTCAACAATCGGTTGAAAAGTTGGATCGAGGATTGCTTTCATCTTAACGATTGACAAGCTGGGGCCTACATAAGTTATGCCTCTGACAGACAGATTAGTAGTGTTGTCAATCAGTCGTTTACGGCGGACGTCTACGAACGAATCATGATGATTAAGTAGGTCCGTGCCGATGATGGGCATTGTGACGTCGGCGAGAAGGAAAATCCACTGAATAGGTTTGCGTAAACCTACGTTCAGATAGACGTATTTCCGACCATAGGTTGCAATTGGCTTTCCATTTGCAGCCTGTAGGTTGAAGTTAGGACCCTTCTGTCGATCTGCTGCTGTAGCAGGAAGGACGCTGACTTCGGTGCCTGTGTCAACTAAATAACTAGTGTGGCTCATTACATCACGGGTGTAAAGTAAGCGGCTAGTGCCACCGGCGACGGTTGCAGCTAACGCGTGCCGGCGGGATTGTTTACCACAGACTTGGAGGCTTTGCCGAAATCACAAGGTTTTCGACAACATTTCGCTTCTTGGCCATAGGTGTTGTGACAGGATTTTTGAGAGAACGTGTGTTGGACTTAGATCGTCCACGTGCGTTTTGCCGTTGAGGAGATTTAGAACGACGTTAGGAGGAATTGCTAGGCTTGTTTGACCTAAGCATCTGCTGGATGGAGTTGCATAACTCTATCATTGCAGAATCCTTACTCGAAGTCTGTTCAGTAACTGAGTATACTGCAGTAACTGGCCGTTTAGTTATCTCTAGAATTCTATCTGCAGAGACAGCTAAGTCATCCATGAGAACACCCTGAAGTGTCACAAGTACAGTCTGAACTGACTGTGGCAGTTTGGATAAAAATAGTTCTCTGAACAGTCCTTCGTCGAACTGACTTTGGCCAATAATCTCTTTCATTCTTGCCAGCATGCTCATGGCTGACTGATCCCATAACTCGATGTTACGAAATAACTCATCCAGACGCTGTCGATCCGTGAGAACGTTTCTCTTGAGGAGGGTTGCTTTGAGCAACTCGTAGGAGTTACTTACCTCTGGACCCGACATCTGCAGAGTTACGCACCTGCTAGATTCCCGTGGTAGAGCGTGAATAACTGCAAGGAACTGTGAACGTTGATCGGTTGTGCCATGTTCACAAAAATCAGACTCGGCTATCTGAAACCACGTTTCAGCATTATCTGGCCAATATGGTACGAGCTGAATTGTTTTGGCGGTTGAGCGTATACGAATAACCTTGGGGCTAGGATCAGTCATGACGAAATGTTTGCCGATTACAAAGGAGTACAAGAACAAACACAAAAAGGGACGAACTCACCGAGTTTATCTGCGTACGAATTGAAGATGAAGTTCGAGGCTGGGCTCACCAGTTTAGAGGCTGATGGTATCGACGTTCGCGAGTTGTACGGATTATACTAACGCAAGATCTTACACCAACAACTTCTATAGTGTTCGTTCTTCGAGTACCAAAGATAAAGCAAAAGACCAGATTTTGTCGTCCAAAGTACGTAGTACATTTCGGGACCAAATCGCGGGTAGAAATGAATGCTTAGCTAGCTGGTAATCGTGCACGCACGTGACACGACGGAGTACCAAATGGCGGGGATGCTTGACCGGAAGCCCTCAGCTAAACAAATCGACTTAAACAGTGAGGGTCAGCATCCAATGTTGAGTGATGATTGCTGTGGTCAATAATTTTTGGGAATTATTTACCGCTACAACAGTATGAAAAATACTGATATTGATGATGCTGTAGTTTTTGACAGAAGAAGTTGTTCTTAGATTGTGCCTAGGAGATATAAACTACAGCATACAGCGCTCTGAGTAAGGACAGACTGAAAACTCTGAAAAACTGCCATTGTTTAGGGAGAGCTTGAAAACCTTCAAAGAGAAAATAGTTCAAGTCGCCATACTCCATATGGTACACAAAGCAAGAGAAGAAAGTAGAAGAAATGCAAAATAGAGACAGTAGACAGGGATATGAGACAAAAGGAATAGTAATAACGAAGAGCAATATAGTTTCATTGGGTATTATAAGTCACAAGGAGTGGATGCATCTGCGCCATTGAGAACGACTTTGAGCCATATCACCGATTGTCTCCAGCTGTCATTGGTTTTAAAGTCCCGAGGACCCCAAACAGGAAGCCAGTCTGCACCTCCCTACGTGGCTTAAACTAAATGTTGTGGATTTGATTCACCGGTGCCATGTTTTGGTTTGACCGCCTCTTGCTCTTTTCCAGCCTGACCCTGTCTCAGCTAACATTGCCCATTGCCGAGGAGGGCGATGTTTATTTAGTCACTAAGTAGTTGAGTCAGTTCGACCTCAACCTCAGGTGCATTTTGGTGGGGTGGAAAGTGCAATATACATTGTTTATACGAACCCATTTCATCCAAAACACTACATTCGCGCCTTTGTTATAAGTGGCCTTGATGACTTGGTAATAGACAGTGTTTTCTTGGTACTCACTATAGTCACGTGGGTGACTCCAAACTATAACAGCCCGAAACGCAACTACTTGATAAAGACCTTGACAGATAGCAATAGACCAATCGGACATGTCCGAAGCGGATGTGCGTAATTTGAAAAAGACGTTTATCCGTAAGTGAAGCAGCGTTGAGGAGTTGCACAGAGTAACATCCTTGTATATGTTGCGAGTAAACCACCCAATTTATCACAGGAGTCCTCATGGTCAGGTTAAACCAATTTTGATGCGAAAATTCGTCGAGATAACTACATACCTAAGCTTACAACACTTCTAAACTTATTCTAACTTATTCTTCGTTAATGCCTTTTTATGGTAAACGAAGACTTTATCTACCCACTATGTTCTGAAATAACGCTGGTCGTGCTTAAAAAGGAAACTGGGTGCTGAATTAAATCTTTTAGTTCTGAAGTAACGCTATGCCGCGCCTAATATATCCTTTGAGTGCTGAAACAACGCTGATAAGCGAACCCAGTAGGTTCTGATCTACTCCTGAAAATGCCTAGAAAAAAAACACGGTGCTGAGTTAGTGCCAGTCATGCTGAAAACCAGCACTGAGTTCTAGTCTGTGCCACTAAAGAATCCATTTCAGAACAGATTCAGAATTTACCCATTATAGAATGTTAGAATTATTTCAGAATTAGTGAGATTTAATTCAACATTATAGTAAACTTGGGTATCGTCGTGCTTCTTTACTGGTTTACCACTCTGACCCTATTATTTAGGTGACGTCACCTCGAAAATTTCTACAGTACTGTAGAAATTTTCGATGTAATTTTGTGAGGGTCTCATCGAAAGGATTAACGAAATCGTCTGTTGTTGGCCACTCTATGAGTATATTCCACGGATAACAGTGGGCTACACATCTTTTCCCTTCCAGTGAGCCTGTAGCCTGAGTAGTACCTATAGTATTTATGCATACTAGATTTGGATGAAATTTGGTACATAAGTTGTGTACAGCAACCACTGTTCTTCCCATGTACTGCAGAATCATCTGACTGGGCGTTCAAAATCATCAGACCGTCCATTAGGCAATTTAGACTGCGAACTCGTTTTGTGCTGCTATAATTTAGAGTCACCCTCATATTCATTGTTGAAGGCCAACCTACATTTCCGGCTCGGTAAAGAATACCGCACATTCGTTATTTAGAAAAAGGGAGAGTGGCTGGTGTGTAAAGTTTTGGGTTGATTTTTGCGTCAGCCAGCCATTCGTTACGACAGCATTGTAAGAACTGCATTTTGCAGATGAAACATGTCCCTCCATTTCGGTCAGTATGCATCCAGCGCTTATTTAACACGAAACCATCCACTCGTATCATATACATATGGGCTATGCATTCCTCCGCCGTTATCCTATCCAGTCAGAGAATGCACATATCTGTCTGTCTGGTTTTCCAACATAGAACTTTCACAGGTGTGCATCAGTTCAAGTCGCCATACTCCATATGGTACACAAAGCAAGAGAAGAAAGTAGAAGAAATGCAAAATAGAGACAGTAGACAGGGATATGAGACAAAAGGAATAGTAATAACGAAGAGCAATATAGTTTCATTGGGTATTATAAGTCACAAGGAGTGGATGCATCTGCGCCATTGAGAACGACTTTGAGCCATATCACCGATTGTCTCCAGCTGTCATTGGTTTTAAAGTCCCGAGGACCCCAAACAGGAAGCCAGTCTGCACCTCCCTACGTGGCTTAAACTAACTGTTGTGCTGAGATTTCGTTAGTGATCAACTCTTTGGGGCTGATGCATGTTGCCAAGGTGAATGCATATGGGCAATGTGGGCTGAACGTGTAATTTTGATCGGCAAAGACTTAGGCAAAAGGTGGTTTAAATGCTAGTTAAATAACCCACTTTACCCAAACTGGCCACTTTAACCCTCATTGTACATGTCCCGAAAAATTTTATTGTTCCACTTTTTCCCACTTTACCCATTTTACAACCGAAAACCGCCGACGTTTTCCCACTTTGCCCAATTTCGAACGGAAAACTACCCACGTTCTTACCCACATATCCCAGGTCCAAAAAAAATTCACTGACTGGGTAGTAGTTGATAGTAATGGTGATATTTAAATTATACTGGTAGTTGTTAATACCTATCTATTTCTACCATTTTAGACTCTGATACACACGAGTTGTGTTGAGCAGACTGGCGGTATGACTCAGTCTAACGGTCTCCTGTCGCCATCTAAAAGAGAAAGATATGCGGCTAGCAACACTCATCGTCATCATACGTTATTAAGTATGACTCAGAAAACGTCGAGCGAGCTTTTCAAAGAAGTCCTATCACCAGAGATTCTACTTGGAAAACTCCCAAATGTGGTAGAAAATGCTCCGGAACCGAATTCTCCCTATAAACCAACGTGTAGTATTCGTGAAGAGCATGGTCGACCTATTTACGGTGTTGCCTTTAATTCGGACAATCGGAGTCAACCATCTGATCCGCTTTATTTCGCTACAGTTTCTGGTCACTATGTAAGTCCTATTTACCCATGGGCGCTTATCGAATCTACGACTTTGTTTGTCTCCGCTACCACTTACTGCAGTAATTTTCCATTTGTTGATTTTATAGGTTACAGTGTACCAGTGTCACTTGAAGGACGACGTTGAAGATGCTTCAAGTGAGGATTCTTCGACACTGGAGCCTGTCAGTACATTGTTGACTTTCGCTGATCCAGCTGGTGATGAGGAAGAGTTTTATTGCTGTGCTTGGTCACGTGATACAAGTGAGAGGTCTGTGTTTAACTCGTGGGGAGGTTGCAGTGAGAGTCATCGACCTCGCCCGACTCCTCACCAAGGTGTAAATGATTTTTACAGTGGGTCAATTATCCCTCCGCACCAGCAGATTATCGCTGTGGCAGGGAAACGTGGCGTTATCCGGGTTCTTTGCCCCAGCATGCTAAGTTGTCTTGGTAGTCTCGTTGGCCATGGAGGCTCTATCAACGAGCTGAAATTTCATCCGAAACGTCTCTCCCTATTGTTTTCCTTCAGTAAAGGTAAGCGGAGTGTTTGTTGTATTTTGGAATTGTGTTTTACTTGCATTTGGTTTCGTAATCCCTGAGTGGTTTATTTTCCAAGTTGTACTTGTCTTCGATCGGTAGCAAGGACTAAATCGCTAATAATGTAAATTGAGTTACTACATATTGTTTAACAGTAGTGATACATAAGTAGGAGCCCTCACACTTGTTGAGTGGATGTATAATGAAAGAGTTTGAGACTGATTGGCCGTATTGCTCTCGTGAATTTATGTGTAATGTGTCTCCACTATTTCGTATCACCCTGCATCTATACTACGTGTATTGTTGTCATTTCTATCCTACTTAACCAAACTGATGGCAGTACATATCCATTTGATGGCTAGTGGTGGACAGGTGAGACGTTGATTGTCCACTACGTACACTTCCTTCATGAGAGTTTGTTGTTCTAGTCCATAAATGACTGGTAGGAGTTTAATGTGTATTGACTGTAAAAGCTTATCAGGCCATTGTGGCTGTGCTGGATGTATTCTGCAGTTGCTTGCTATATTCTCATCTGCTTCATGCTTTTACGATGTATGGAAGGTGTGCAGTATGTCTCAGTCTTGGGGGGAGACTAATCAAGTACAATGCTGCAAATTGATCTATGATGATATGGGTACACAAGGTAATCGCGTTTCTTAATAGATCATGACATCTATGGATTTGGCTTAGATCAGGGGAGAATATGAAGGACTGTGATTTTCTGAAAGGATGAGGTTAGGATACACTGTACTGTCTCCTCCGTTAAGAGTGCTTACCTTCAGTTATCACACTATTTATTTGTTGATAACGTTTGCGATTATCTTAGCGTCTGGCATTTGATCGTTAGAAAAACCAAAAGGCGGTTGCAGCAAAGCAAGATTTCTTTTCCGACGAAGTCATTAACCAGACTACGCATTCGTAAATAGTTTAGTTATTTGCAACTCACTTGACGGTGATGGTGGGGTGGGTGGGAGGAGAGCTATGAACCACATGCATTGCGTAGGGTTGGAGTATACGGAAAGGGATTCGAACCCAGGATTCATTGACTGGAAGCCAAATGTTTGGGTCAATAAGTCACGACTTTGTGAATATATGTAGTGGAGGTGCGAAATATCCAGGAATATTAGCAACTAGAGGTCAAGACATAGCGAATACCAAGATGAAGTTATGCAATGCAAATGGGGACCAAACCAAAGGGATAAACAGAAATTTCGGATAGTGAACAGTTGGTAAAACAGTTTTGTTGGAAAATGCACTGGTTATGATGGCGACGTGAAAGACAAAGTGAAATGTACTTCTTTTGGTTAAACAGATTTGGCTTGAATATTCGTATCACTAATGCTTCAACTGTGCCCAGTCCGGATGTCTTACAATGTTTGATTGAATTTTGCATGAGGCTTCGGAGGATTTTTCGAATTGAGCTGAATATCGTCAGTTCGCGGGATGTCCTGTTATCAAACTACAGATCTCTTTCTCGCGTTAGGTGGTATAATAAAGTAAGTAATGTTGACGTTAGGCGTAGTGTTGGGCAAAGAGGGAAAATCAATCGAAGAGGCTATAAAGTTACATAGATTGAGATAGCTAGGCTAGCTTCACATGCCTAGCCATCGCCTCCCCCGACGGGCATTACTAGCTGATCTAGGTGCAGGTTGGAAAAGAGTAAGTGGTGGCCAAACAAAAACATGGCCTCATCAATCCATGAAATCCCTGACAGTTAAACTGAGTCAGGTAGGGAGATTAAGACTTCCGGGTTGGGGCCCCCGGGACTCTAAGAATCAGTGGCTGGAGACAATAGGTGACATGGCTCAAAATCGTTGTCAATGGCGCAGATGTATTCAGTCTCTGTAATCTTTCATATTCCTTTCTACCATTACTCATTCTGTTTCACTCTTATACTTGTCAAAACTCTATTGATTCTCTTCACTCATTTTCTTGCCTACCTTTGTGTGCTATTTGGAACGTGGCAACTCGAACTGCTGCACTTCGGTTCTATGTTGAATCCAGCCAGAACTACAGACACGTCCAGCATGTCTATGAGAGATGCATTGACGATACTTCCAGTATTGGTGATGCGAATCAAAATCTCGACAACCTGCTCAAAACCTTCAGTAATGCCCACACAGTCATCAGATTCACTGCAAAAGCAGAATCAAACTCAGTGTTCCATTTCCACGATGTTTTACTCTTAGGAAGGGATTCTAGCTGACTGAGAGATCGATTTTCTAACAGTCTACATAAAATGAAAAGTTTATTAGACTTCAGCTTTTGTTCGTGTAAGCATCCTTATAGCTCTGGACAGTCAGTTTTACACATACTTTCCCTTTTGCCAACGGAACTGGGTAGTTTCGCGGGTAGAAATATATTCATAAGCAGACAGCACGTGGTATTTCGATCTGTGATGATTGAGTTTAAAAGTTGCACCACTGATCCTCTGACAACAGATTAGTGGCGAGTTGACACATGAGCTGGAAAAGTCTGATGTAAAGCTGAGAAAGACATTCATCCTAGACTTCTCAATTGAAGCACTACCATTTGTACATACTGTTGTAGATTATCCCCAGTCCAACATGTCACATCTTCCGACGACCATAAATATTAGTCAGTGTCTGAAGTCACTTTGTGGACTATTGGGAAAGATTTAGGCACACTGAATACTATCGCGTGTCTACTTCTGTGCACGGGACTTGCTTATACATTTGCATGCTTCGTGAATAGTGAATTCGGTGACAAAACTGGTTGTCAAGTTTGTTCCCTTACCTATGAGGGATATTCTGAGTTTGTGTGTGCGTGTCTGGACTGGGATAGAACAAGCAATTCACACTGAACCACTCATGTGAAGATTTTTCTAAAATAAGAGCGGTTGATCTAGGTCCAAAAAGTTGTAAACTGGCAACACAAGATATCGAGAGAAATTGATTTGCACGAAACCTTTCAGTGAAGTGAACATTTTTGAGACCTTTTGGTTTCTCTGCACTGCTGAAATTGATAAATTTGTGGACATAAATAAAACTGTCTCCAAAACATTCGCTGGATGGGGTGTACACACAATCTTTATTCGAAGTGAAATAAACACCACACCGACCCGCATATTCAGTGATTGTTAGTCAAAGCTCTTACACGATAATGAGTGTAAGGGTGTCATTGTTTTGTAATTTAAAAGAAACGAAGCAGAATCGATCACAATAGTTTGTGCACATCACTGTCCCGTTCTTCTGTAAATCCTGGAGGTGAAGTGATGCGAGTTCTTGTAACTATTTCTTTCTATTCCTTGACTGTTGTCACAATTGCTGGTATTATTTGTGTTTTCTTTGGCATCCTACTAATTTCATTTCTTCCACTTCTGATAAGATGGCATACAACAACTTGCTCTAACATGCATTTATGCCAGTTCTTACATTGTCCCTCTCCCTCTTTGTCTTTTATTTTCATAGTGCATCTGGAAGAACCAATTTGTACGTATGTTTCAATATTGTTTAGACTTTCACAGGCTTCCCTCGTACAGTATAACAAATGTAGATGTATTGTCAGTTATTTCACAATTACAGATTGATCTTCATTTCTTGTGAAGTTAATCGGTTAGTGTGTTTCTGGTCGAATATCCACGGATCCCTTTCCAGAATTCACCGTTTCTTCTTAAACTATCCTTCTTTTGTTTGATTCGCAATAAGTCATTACCATTGTCGTTGTCATTATTATTACTATTACTAGTATTGCTGTTATGGATTTCTTTCGTTTGTTTTGTATAGATTACACTATTCGTCTGTGGAATGTTGCCACTAATGTGTTAATTTGTGTCTTTGGAGGATCAGAAGGCCATCGGGCTGAAGTGCTGCATGGTGATGTATCCCTATCCGGTAACCTCCTGTTGTCTGCAGGGATGGATCATTATATAAAGATCTGGCGACTTAACACTCCTGAACTGGCGAATAGCATCAGCGAATCTTTTGACTATCGTCTTCATACAAATACAAGGTTAGTTAGTGATGTACATACCCTATTTTGGAGTGTTTCTATGATAACTTTCTCTGAAGTAGTTGGTTCGAAAAAGTTGAATGTGTTCTTTCATTTTGAAACGACGTCTTTTACACTATGCGGTAGTTATAGCCATCGAAATATACTTATTGTGCATGAGAGACTTTTCTGTGAGATACAATTTCGGTTGGACATACGCACCCTCGAACCTTTGACAGTATACTTGTTAGCTTGGTTCGGACGAGTATCTGGAGTTTTAGTTTTCCCTAGTAAGGTAGTCATTCTTAACATGACAAATCAGTATCGCATAAACAAGCAGTGGAGAGAGTGAGAAGTCTGTTAGCGCAAACTAAGCACATAGAGTAAAGGAAGGAAGACGTTTCCAGTGAACTGCATGGCTTTTAAAATATTTCCCCAAGTGATATGAATCAGGCCTGAGATAAACTAAGGTAAGCTACTTGTTTAGTCTTTTTATTCGTAGAGCTATTCAGTGAGGATCGATTCATTTGGTCTCCTGATTACATTTGTTAACTGTGTACAATCATCATTTTCCTACGAGGTGTATACAAGTATACAGACTGGAATAAATAGTCGATAATCGCTTTAAGACTAGCTAGTGATTGTTCTAGGTGTTGTGTCCAAATAAGTAGGATTACTGCGATGGTGAACGTCGACTAATCTTGTTGATCCCGTATACCTTATTATTCTGAAGATGTCATTGCACAATGAAAGTGGTATCCTGCATAGTTGTGCATAAAATGATATGACACATTGTTGAAGTCTACGCTTACTAAACTGTGAAGTTATTTTATCCTATGGGAAGGAATTACATGTGAGACAAACAACGTGAGATGCATTTGTTAAATGCCAGACAGTATTATCGCTCAGGATGTTCTATGAGTATATTTTGTGATTCCACAAACATAGATAAGTGAATGTTATTGACACATACATTATTTGGGCTATATTCCCCAGTGGAATTGTTGCTTGATAACGACATGAAGTTTGCAGATCGCCTTCCTCGATCTATTGTAACCAGCACTTCGAGTTTCATTAACTATATTGTGTTTTGAAGTGTTGGATTTGTAGGGATTTTGTTTGATTGCATGGAGGATTTCATCATGAGCTGACATCAGTTAGAGAACCACTGGAGAACCTGGGAGTACTGGAGAGCTGTTACGTCTTAGTTTGGGACTCTTAATTGTACGCATTGTGTTTTAGTGAATATGGAATTGTCGCTGTTGTAGGTCTGATGATGACTGTGATGATGGTTGGCTGAAGCATTGTAGACAGATATTTTAAATCTTGTTGAGTTGTTACTATTATTATTAATTATTGTTCCCTTGGGTTCCAAATGGAACATAGGGCTTCAACTGCACGTCTCCACTTGTTTCTGTCTTCTGCTGTACTTCTGACCTCCATCCATGTTAGTCCATACTGTTTCAGCTCCTCTTCACACGATCTCCTCCATGTTACCCTTGGACGTCCCACTCGCCGCTTCCCTTTCGGGTTCCACTCGAGCGTTGGCCTGACGCGTGATGTCACCCACCGGCCTCCTCAGCGAGTGTCCAATCCATCTCCACTTTCTCTTGCATATTTGTTGGGCGATTGGTTCTTGCTTTGTTTGTTCCCACAGTTTCTTGTTGGTGATTCTTTCCGGCCATCTGATCTTGAGTATAGAGCGAAGACAGTTGTTGATAAAGGTCTGCAACACGCTGTTGGAAATATTCTTTGTGACCCTCCAAGTTTCTGATCCGTACGTATAGAAGAACTGACTGACTTGACGTTTGTATTGGAAATCCGAATTTTGTTGTTGATGCTGAGTTGAGTGACGAAGATTTCCAGATTGGTTTCAGGTTGATGAATGTGTTTCTCGCCTTCCCGATTCTCCATTTGACATCCTCGTCCGTCCGTTCCTCCTGTAGTTGAGACAATGCTCCCTAGATAAGTGAATGAAGTAACCTCTTTCAAATCCCTCCCGTTGATGGTGATTGGCGCTGGATGTTGCTGCTGCTGTTGTTGATGTTTGGTTACTTTCATGACCTCCGTCTTGTCTATGTTCACCTAGAGTCCTGTCTTTGCTGCTTCTTCGACCAGTTTGTCGGTTTTCGCTTGTAAGTCTTCGATTTTGTGTGACATCAAACATAAATCATCCGCGAAGTCCAGGTCTTCTAGGTTCTTCACGTCGGTCCAGGATATCCCTGTCTTCTCGTTTCCCACTGTCTGACGCATAATCCAGTCCACCACAATTAGGAATATCATTGGTGATAATAAGCACCCTTGTCTGGCTCCTGTGTTTACTCCAAACGCCTCGCTGAGTTTTCCGTTGTGGATTACTTGACATGTGCCGTTGTCGTACAGCTGTTGAATAAGGTTGATGAATATTTGGGGTACGCCGTAGTACTCGAGTGGTTTCCAAATTACTTCGCGGTCAACGCTGTCGAAGGCCTTCTCAAAGTCTATAAAGTTGAGGTAGATGTTTGATTGCCATTCCATGCTTTGTTCGATGATGATGCGTAGAGTTGCAATTCGGTCAGAACATGATTTGCCTTTCCTGAATCCAGCTTGTTGTGGTCGGAGTTCTGTATCCAGTGCGTCCTTTATTCTCTCCAGGATGATGCGACTCAGGATTTTACTTGGCGTCGAAAGGGGCATGATTCCTCGCCAGTTCTTGCAGAGTCCTAGGTCGCCCTTCTTTGGTAGTTTCACTAGGTAACCTTTCCTCCAGTCAGTAGGCACCTTTCCCTCCTTCCGGACCTTTTGCACTAATGGAGTCAGCATATCTGCTGTCGTCTCTGGGTCCGCTTTCAGTGCTTCAGGGGGTATTCCATCTGATCCAGCTGCTTTTCCAGCTTTCAGAAGCTTGATTGCATTCAAGACCTCAGCTTTCGTTGGAGGATTGGTGTCAACTTGCAGTTGTGTACGTGCTGTTGTTGGTATTTCTGGACGAGTTGCAGGTGGTGGTCTGTTTAAGAGTCCTTTGAAGTGGTCCGCCCATTGTTTAATCTGTCTTTCTTCCTTGGCAATTGGGTTCCCTTGGCTGTCTTTTATAGGTTTCAATTGTGTTGATCTCTTCCCGGATAGAGACTTGGTTATCTGATTTAGTGTCCTCAGGTCCCTTTTGCCTGCTGCCTTCTCAGCGTCAGTGGCCAGGTTGTCGTAGAATTGTCTTTTGTCCTTCCTAGCACTCTTCTTCACTTCTTTGTCCAGTGCTGTGTAAGTTGAGCTCAGTGTCTCTTTCTCTTGTCCGTCATTGCATTGAATCATTTTTTCTTTCACCATTCTCCTCTCCTCTATTAGCTTCCAAGTGTCCGTTGAGAGCCATTCGTTGTCTTTTCTATTCTTTTTTCCTAAAACCGTTGAACACGTTTCGTTAAAAACCACCTTCAGAGAGTTCCAGTGGTCCTCCACGCATGATTCTTCCGTGATGTCACGTAGTGTTTCCTGCTTTGCTCTGACAGTTGCAGTGAAAGTGTCCTTCAGTTTTTGAGTGTTGAACTTGCATTGTGACCTATTCCCAGCTATCCTCGAGGCTTTTAGCTTCACCTTGAAAGTTCCTTGTACTAGACAGTGGTCTGAACCCACATCTGCTCCTTTCCTCGATCTTGTGTCCAGGAGGCTCCGTCTCCACTTCCTTGAGATTGAAATGAAGTCTATCTGGTTTTTGGTGTGTCCATCTGGTGAAATCCATGTTGCCTTCTGTATATCCCTGTGTTTGAACACACTGCCACCAATCCCCAAATCATTGAAGGCGCAGAAGTCTGAGAAGAGTTCACCATTTTCGTTCATTTCACTGAGGGCTTCGCGACCCATGGTGAGTTCTCTTCCTGTATTGTCTCCTCCCAGTTTCGCATTCATGTCACCCATCAGGATTTTGATATCGCCATTTGGGACTTTGTCCATTATTGCTTGTAGTTGTCTGTAGAAGGCCTCCTTCTTCTCTTGTTCTGAGACGTTTTTAGGCGCATAGCATTGAATGATTGTAACCTTCCTTCCTTTTGAGTTGAACCTGGCTGTCATTATCCTGGAGGAGATTGGTTCCCACTGCATGAGAGCTTTGGCTGCTGTTGGTGACATCATGATGGCTACTCCCTCGGTGTGCTCATGATTGTCCTCTGGGTGACCGGAGTAGATTATTGTCTCTCCATTTGGTAGTTGGCTCCTTCCACATCCGTTCCATCTGCTCTCGCAGATTCCCAACACTTCTATTTTATATCTTCTCATTTTTGAGGCTACCTGGGCAGCCTTTCCAGTTTTCTGCATTGTACGAATATTCCACATCCCCATACTTATTTTCGCTTTCATCGGAAGAAGGCACATCGGCTGACTGGCTTCCTTAAGACTTACACCAGCCTGCGTCATTTCACTTCCCCGATTCCAGGGAAAAATAAGGTAATTGTTTATATTTTTAGAATTTTTAATATATTTGTGCGTTGAAGTTTCTGTAGCAATTTGGTTAAGTTTTTGAGGTGGAGTTGCCAGCACCACGCCCCAACCCTCCCTCTTTATCCGGGCTTGGGACCGGCTAGAAAAAAAGTGACCCAGTAAACTAGGCGAGGTTACTTCAGCAATGTGATGAAGTATATTTACTGTTTCTTTCCGATTGACAACAGTTTGTGCTTGACTACTGTGCAATTTGGTAACTTGATATTTTGTAATTGTTCCTCCATAGGTCGTTCCCTGTACTGGTACAACACTTCCCGGAATTTAGTTCCCGTGATGTGCACGGTGATTACGTGGATTGTGCGCGTTGGTTTGGTAGCTTGGTTATCTCTAAGTCGTGTGAGAATTGTGTTATGCTTTGGAAACCCGGTGAACTAGATAATTCATCATACTGTACTGATTCATCGTCTGTGGTATGTAGTGACAGTGGGTCACATTTAGCCGATGGTGGGATTCAGGTGACAGATGGGTTGCGGCTTCCGACTCGGCTGTCTGGAATTGTCCCTCATTCGGAAAAGCAACCGCATGCACCCGGAGTACTGACAGAGCCCAAAGCGAGCGTCATCCACCGTTTGAAAGCAGAGAATTGTAATCTATGGTTTGTTCGTTTTGATTTGGATCTGAAAAATCAGATACTTGCTTTGGGCACAAGTAGTGGTCCGTCACGCGTGTATTTGTGGGATCTAAAGCATCCTGAGAAAGCATTCAATCTGCCACCTCAAGTGCTTCATCTCCCTCCAATTAGCAGAGTTGGTCGAGGTGGTTCATCATCGAACCACGTGGCGATCAGACAAATACGTTTTGCTAATGACGGTGAAATTCTCTTATGTGTAGGTGATAATGGTGTCATTGTAAGGTTTGATAGAATGTAACTTTTGTATATATTTATTGTCATCAGTGTTTAGTTTGAAATGTATCAATAAATCATATTTTTTTTAAGGAATGGCTTCTTATCCTTAATATATTATGTGATGAATGCGTTGTTTGCACACTTGTTTAATTGTCGGAATGATGAATAAATGCTGTGGTGTGAGTCTGTCAGATCGTCATGTCATAGTGGGATTAGAGTTATTAAAGCATAGGATTCCACACTTATTAGCACTGAATAGCAGCAGTTACGACGAGACATAATTCTAATTACATAGCCCATTCAATTCGTCTTGAATGTGTGTGAATCCTTCTTTCAGGGTGGAATTAGGAGAGACATGAGCAATCTTTAAGTCGTGATCAAAGGGATACGGTGTGCAACACTGTAGGTATTGTTAATGTAAATTAGGATAAGCTATGACCCCAGCTCACTGCCCTGAATCACTTCATATCATATGGATCCAGGCGACATGTAAGTATTGAGGAGTTCACTACTTGGAGCGGTCCTCCAAGAAGGATTGAGGCAGGGTAACCGAGGGCCTTAGTAGTCGAACGACTTCAGCTTGAGGAGTAGTCTTTTGTGAGGGACTTCATGGAGGGTGTGTTGTTCTGGTTCAGGGAGTTTGTTGTAGCTGATTGATGCAGTAATATCCAGCGCTACGACCTCTTACATATCATTCGGAATTATTGACGTGATGTCGATGGTCTTCAACATTAGGAAGCTATGGAGTATCGTTTTCGGGGGTTATAAATGGGGACTTTTAGAGCACTGGGTAACCACAACTGGTTAAGCGTATGTCGAAAGGCTTCAGGAGAATAATGGATATGTGTGTCTCCACTACCACTTTCAGCAAGAGAGACTGAGTTCCATGAGGGTCAACATTGTACGAGGTCCGAGTAGGTTGTGCTATATTGGGTGAAATATTTCGTGGTGTGAATGCAGTGTAACTGAGAAAGTGATCTGGTGTGGCTATATCTTGAACGACATTTATTTTGACTTCACAAGTAAAATGAAATAGCCGGCATAGCTGTAGCTGAATAACTCACATGTGGCTCCCATTGTGGGCTGCGTAAGTAATTTTACTGGAAATATTACCAAAAACAAGAACTTATCATTGTGTGTAAACTATTGAAATATGATTGTAATTTATTTGGTCTATTTCTACTGACATTAATGCGTAAGTGTAGATTCAGGTTATCCCACTTAGCGTATATATATATGTGCATACTTATGGTCTCTGAGTGAAGTTGATTTAGTATTTATTGGTGAATTCATGCTGGTGTGTGTGTGTGATATACCAAAGACTACCTTGTCATCGGCAACAGGACACCGTTTACCTACTGGATTTGTTACGAGAATGACCAATATTAAGATCTGTTGTTCAGCATGAGTCAGTCCCGTACCACCGTTTGTGATGACTGACTGTGATGTACGCATGGTAACTATTGTAGTAATCGGAGTGGGTTGCTTCGTCCCTATCTAAATCATACAACGTGCAATGCTTTCGCATGTTACTTGATATCGGGACAAACGCCACAAATAGTTTTCCAGTCAAATTAACAAATAAGGACGTTGTTAACGACACTATCTGTACAAATTCATCGATGAATAGTATAGAGCTGGTGTGGGAGTGTAGGAAATAAAAGTCATTATTATTACCATTATTGATTTGTAGTATGCAGAAAAGTAGGAGTTGTGAATACTCAAGGAAGATGAAGTTGTCAACTGTAAATAATGGATACCATGGCCAAGTGACCTTGGACCAACTAACTAATGAGATCGGTCGACACTTGAAATGGGTGCAGGGGCGAGGGTAAGACTTTAAACGGAGATCGTGGACAGCATCCGTTTGTAAAGTCGAGCGACCTGATTGGCTGGTCTAAGGTCAATATTTTGGCTGCGTCATCTATTGTTCACGGCCGACATGATGTCACAGAATCCTGACCAATGTGAAGTAACTAGTGGAAGAATGTTTGGTGAAAGTGTATAGGAAAGTGACTGGCAGGCGGAGCGTAATATTCTAATTTCTTTGTGGTGTGCGATAGACATTGTCAAATATCGCGTCTGCCTATATGATGAGAGTGATACTGCAGAAAGAATTTTGAAATTGAAGGTTTTAGATAAATATAAGAAAACGAGGTGAAGGTGGACAATTTAAGCGAGAGCAGTAGATCATGGAAGGGGAGTAGCTGTGGTTTGATTTCCGGTGAATAATTACACTAAGTCCACCGCCCTAACTGTAGACTGGAGAGTTTTGTTTTGCCATTCTAACAAGAGTTGCGACCAGTCAAAGATGACAGGTTAGTCTGTCCGCTCAGACTGTGAACCTGTCGAGTTCTTCACATGACTTGATTTCAGTAGGTTGTTGGTTGCAAAGACTACTACAAATAATGGTGGAGCACTTGGCCTTAATTGGGTGATTTCGTAGATCATTTGGTTTAATTTCAGCCCACACGATGGATGAATCAAAGAAACAGCTTGCAACCTACTCTTCTTGACCATAGGGGTACTAAACTAATAATAGTGAAACATGTGTGTGAGCAGATTCCGTTTGTTGGTCAGACAACTGGCATATGTGCCTCATGAAATTTCATTTAGAAACTAGTATTTAACGGTCGGTCAGCTGGCTCAAGTTCACTGTGCGTGAGGATGGAGTTTTCGAGGTTGGGGCGAATACATCTGTCATGTATGACCAAGCTATCTTGCTTCTGAATTGTGGAAGTTGTACGGGATGAGGCCGATAAGTCCTTGTCAGTCTGATTGATACCACCTTATTCGCATGATCTGAAAAGGATAGGTATGTGTTATACCAAGATCTGTGATTGTTCCCAGCTTTCGGAGGAGGCATTAGTCACTGACACTTGTATCGAAATATTCGTCCGAATAACTGACCGAAAGCGCTAGAAAATAAGGTGACATTCAAGCACCGTTGGAATTAAAAGGCAATTGTGTCCTGATTGAAAGAAGTTAGGATTCTTGGACCACTGAGTCGGGTATCAGTGTCTGAATGGTCTACAAGCCTGTCTTGTAACTGGTAGGTCCTAGATTCGAACTCCGTTGGGTGCGCACTGCCGGTGATACAAAACCAGGCGAAACAGCTGCCTAGTACATCCTGGATTTCAATGATTGTCGAAGTGTGCTATCAATCCGTGGTCAGACTTGACTCAGCTTAGAAACTTTTCTCTGTCGACGAGATCATTTTCAGGGACTGTACAGTCATACTTATATTAACCAAAAACGTATATTAGTAGTCTATTATGGAGTAGTCGGGGTTCGGGTGTATGACAACAATGATATTGTAACAGCAGAAGGCAAGACACGGAAGTCAAGTTTTATTTTCAAGTGATCAAACAGCTATTTATATCTATGCAGTTTATATTCTTTCAACAATCACTGAGCGGGTGATTTTGGTTTACATGAAATAGAATGTTCATATATATATATATATAGCCTTCTGTTGCTAATGACGTATGTAACTGCGGGAATAATATTAAGACGGTAACACCAACAAATACAATGTTCTTTACTGTGAGAATAATATTCCATTGTCTGTATCAAGCCACCACCACCACAATACAATTCCTCAGAAGTAGCTCCCAGACAAAAATTGAAAATTACGTAATGGTCAATGGGACGATGCAAGAAGAAAGTGACTGAAATGTGATGAGGTTAAAAATTGTTATTGAATGTGAGGAAAGCTGGTTGAGTGTCCACTTGAAAAGTGTGAACAGGGTGAGAAAATGTACAGAAGGAAGATGTAAGAGTGATAATAGTGAATTTCTTATTGAAAGTGAAAGCGAACTAATTATTAAGAAATGGAAAATTAAACTGAACGACTTGGGAAGAGAATAAGACGATGGAACACTGCACAAAGCTTTCTGTACACAGAGTTTGGGGTTGTGTTGACGAGTCGTTGGCACTGCCGCCTCCATACACAAATGCTGAGCGAGACCGAACACCCCTTGTAACACTCGTTCTCAACTTGTAGAGAGTGTTAAAAGACAATTCAGTTGAAGCTGCATGGCCTGAGTTCACCAAGTGCTCGAGAATTCAGCTAGTAATGATCTTACAACGTCATTTTGTTGATTATACTGGATAGTGTTCATAGATGCGTTTGTAAAGTGTTTGTTTTGCATGACCAGTATAACTAGCTCAACAGGGTCAAGTGAATTTACAAACACATATTGAAGTGACCCAAAGTGGCAGTTCGTCCCTTACACATCCATCGATCATTTGTTGACTGTAGAAATTGATCTGTAGCCCAGTCGAAAAGAAAGCTTTCCTAAGTGATCTTGGTAGGCAGTTAGTTGTTCAGAATCTCAGCCGCAGTATCACCTATAAATTCGTCATTGATGAAGACAGATTTCTTCGACACCGTTTGGATTCTTTCGGATTTTCGCTTTACGTTCATATTTTTCTGGATGAACGTTGAAGTATATCCACTTGCAATGAGGACTTGTCCGAGTTTCTGCAGTTCACCATCGATTGTATCACTGGTGCATATCCTTCTTATTCGTGAGGAAAATGAGTGGGTGAGGCTTCTATTTGTATCTACAAACTAATAAAGGGGATTGGCAGTACTGATATTTGGTCACTCTTGAGACGTCATCTCCTAGTACGCACGATTTATAGATATCTGAGGATTAACATGTTATTTTGCGGATGGTAACGAGCAGTGGAATTCAGGAAGTGGCTTTTAACCCAACCGCGACTAACCAGCTTCATATACATCCCATAATGTACAGCAAATTTGGCATCAGTGGACGGTTGTTTCTCTGTCAGACAATTCGTTTGTGGATGATATGGCGTTGTCATGATCTTGATACCCAGCTGTTACAAACGGGATGTAAATTCTTCACTTTCAAAACGATGACTCTGTTCTGTTAGTATCGTCTTTGGTACACTGTGGTCTACGACGATGTGTCGAACTACTGCGTCAGTCACACTTCTCACACGTTGATCAGGATGATGACAGCGTCTACCCATCCTGTATCATGTCTCGTCATCAACAGGAGGTACTGATTGATACTGGATGTCTGAGACGAAGTTCCAATTACATCTACGGACTACAAGTC